ACCAGAACTTGGTTGGAGATCCTGACCAGAACTTGGTTGGAGATCCTGACCAGAACTTGGCTGGAGATCCTGGAGGGAGAACCTCGCTATGCTGATGAACTGAACCCAGTCTCCATGTCATTCCTTCTTCGCCGACTCCGTCCACACCTTTGGGGACCCCTGGACCTGCTGGGGTTGGACCCCAGCAATTTGACATAGGAGACAAGAGCATACAATGGAGTAAAGTCTTTTCAACAAATCGTTTTGGGGAAAACTGGACAGATGTGAAAAAACATAAAACTAGACCACCAACTTACACCATACACAAGAATAAACTCAAAATGGATAAAAGACTTAAATGTAAGACATGAAACCATAAAAATCTTGGAAGAAAACATAGGCAGCAAAATCTCAGACATCTCTCATAGCAGAAGTTTTGCTGATACATTTCCTAGGGCAAGAGAGAAAAGGGGGAAATAAACAAATGAAACTACATCAAAATGAAAAGCTCCTGCCCAGCAAAAGAAACCACCATCAAAATGACAAGAGAGCCCACTGCATGGGAGAACATATTTGCCATGATACATCTGATAAGGGGTTAATTTACAAAATATATAAGGAACTCATACAACTCAACAAAAGGAAGACAAACAATCCAATTAAAAAATGGGCAGAAGAGCGACAGCCCGCGGACTGTCGGCACCTCAGGATTCTAGGACAGGTCGAGCATTCTGTCACGATGCCTGAAATCAACACCAACCACCTTGATGAGCAACAGGTTCAGCTCCTGGCAGAGATGCGTATTCTTATTGATGAGAATGACAATAAAATTGGGGCTGAGACCAAAAAGAATTGTCATCTGAATGAAAACATTGAGAAAGGTTTATTGCATGGAGCTTTTAGTGTCTTCTTATTCAACACTGAAAATAAGCTCCTGCTACAGCAGAGATCAGATGCTAAAATTACCTTTCCAGGTTGTTTTACCAATACTTGTTGTAGTCATCTCTTAAGTAACCCAGGAGAGCTTGAAGAAAATGATGCAGTTGGAGTAAGGCGAGCAGCACAGAGGCATTTAAAGGCTGAATTGGGAATTCCCATGGAACAGGTTCCTCCAGAAGAAATTAATTACCTGACGAGAATTCACTACAAGGCTCAGTCTGATAGTATCTGGGGAGAACATGAAATTGATTACATTTTGTTTGTGAGAAATAACGTGACTTTGGATCCAGACCCCAATGAGATTAAAAGCTATTGCTATGTGTCAAAGGAAGAGGTAGAAGAAATGCTGAAAAAGGCAGCCAGCGACTAAATGAAGGTAACTCCATGGTTTCAATGTATTGCAGAGGCTTTTCTCTTTACATGGTGGGATAACTTAAATAATTTGAATCAGTTTGTTGGCCAAGAGAAAATACACAGAATGTGACTGTGGAGATGAATAATTAGTAAAGCACTAAAAATGTCTCTACTAGTAAACTTAAAATGATTTTTTAAAAATTGGGTTCCCCATTAGAATTCTCATTGGATATATTGGTACTTTACAGCCTGAAATTATGTGGAAAAGATGCTGAAAATTCTTACTTGTATCACACACCCCACATATATGCACTCTTATTTGTAAAGGGCATTTATGAAAGATTATTTTTAAAAAGCAAATCAACTAAACTTAGCCTGTCTAAACAGTCCTGACAAATTTGAACAAATAAGTGAAGCTCTTGATTTGCGATGTGTTGGGCATTTTCAGAACCTGCAGAGCACTTTATTTGCCAGGTGCTTTACATGTCATTAAGGTGTTGTCATCATCCAGAAAAATATGCAACAGAAACTATTTGCTTAGCTGCTTCCAAACAGCTCAGATTAACGTTCCATGTTAAGATATTAAATTAGGGGAGCAGGTCAAAGGTAACTAAATGGTGTGTGTCCTGATTTCTATCAAAGTCTGTGTTCTCAGAATTACAGGGGACAGACAGGCTACTTGTAAAATGGAAATTGGGTCCTACTCTACCACAGGGGTTCTTACTGCTGGTTCTGTTAACATTTGGGCTGGGTAATTCTTTGTTGTGGGGTTCATCTGTGCATTCAAGGACATTTAGCAGCATCCTTGAGTTCCACCCACTATTTGCCATTGGTACCCACCCCCCCATCACAGTCACAGTGATTACTGATGCCAAATGTGTGCTGGAGGGCAAAGGTGCTCCCATGAGAACCACTGCTCTACAAAGCCATACCATATTGGGGGAGCAGAGGGAATTAAACAGAAAGGTTAATATTCATGTTAAATGGAATTAGGATCTGGAATATGTGCATATTAATATTTAAACTGTACCTTGATTGATGCACTTTTTAAAACTTGCATAGATTTCTCAGTTTGAAATCTCAAGACAGCTTTATTATCCTTGAATGCTATGTAATAATAATTAAAAAGAAAAATTTGTTTCTTACAAGCTAAATATTTTATAAATTCAATGGAAGAATCCATTTCTTGTTAACTCTGAGCAGTTAATTCATAATTTCAGGGAAGATTTGTCACAAGTATTAATTTTACTGAAAAGTAAAAACAAATAAAAAATTACATTTTAATACGGTTGTCTTTTTTGTTAATATTTTAATACAATAATAGGTTAACCTGCCTATGGTAGCATAAACATAAATGCCATATAGCTTCAAAGTACATTCAAACATTTCTAGTTCTTAAGTTTTCTTTCCCAGGAGGTTTCAAGCTGAAAGCCACACGTAACTAGTTACTCAGCTACAGTGGCTAATGGCTGCCATACTGGACAATGGGTCTTTAGACCAGCACTTGGCACTTTGTAATATATATATATTTTTAAAATATATTTTATTGATTTTTTATGGAGAGGAAGGGAAAGGGATAGTTAGAAACATCGATGAGAGAGAAACATCAATCAGCTGCCTCCTGCACACCCCCTACTGGGGATGTGCCCACAACCAGCAGGCCGATGCTCTGTCCACTGAGCCAAACCGGTTAGAGCATTTGTAATATATTTTATTGATTTTTTTACAGAGAGGAAGTGAGAGGGATAGAGAGAAACATCGATGAGAGAGAAACATTGATCAGCTGCCT